GGCTGGGTTTTCTCCTGGACGTCTCCGAGAAACAGCGGGACCCTTTTCGAGAGCCTTGGGTGACTGACAGTTATCCGCCGATCACCGGGTTCTTGCCGCCTCTGAGGAAGGGCAGTCCCACCCCTGTTCCTGTGATGGGGTGGGAGCAAAGGCAGATCTGGCGCTTTCTTCCAACGTGCGACGTTGCAGAGGCGTTCGGTTTTAAGAAGGCCGTGACTGTGTTCTAAGGCAAGGCTGAGCGTCTCAGTGTTTGTTTCTCATTAAATCAAGCCAGGTCTCGTTAATGGCAAAGCACCAGAACTATACATAACTAGTATTTTTGTTTATTTGGAGTTGAGAGGTGTTACTATAGCCACTGCTGATCTTACAGCTGCGGGTGTGTAGCGCACAAAGCAGAGGTTGAAGTACAGCTCATAGGATGTGACTCCTACCCACACCGTAACGTTCTGGAGACAACCAGGGAAAGAATGTCAGTTCGGGGCAGCGCTTAAACACGCCTTTCCTTTCGGAGGAAGCTTTTTCTCATGGTTTATTACATCAGAATGAAAAACAATGGAACAACTCAAACACGGGCTGTGTTTTTCATCCCAACCTGGGAATTCGCTCACTGGTAGGTGAGCTTTCGGGCGACCAGGTGTGCGTGGAGCAGGGCAGCGTGCGCTGCTCCGTGGGGACCAACGCCATGCGCTCCAGCCCGTTGGCTTCGCGGCATCGCTGCTCTGCCATGTCCGATGCGCTTTTCCTTCAGCGATTCCTGTAGGCAAAGCAAATGTAAGAAATTAATTTCTCATGGAGAAGAGGGTTTTTTTTGCTTATTGTTTTGTGAAGGGTTTATGAACTCTGTGGCTGAGGTTTTCGACTGTTTATTTCCTGCCTCTCTCCCCTTGCCAGAGGAAATCAGTGTGCTTTGGGCTGGGGAAAAGGACGACTCTACAGAGTCCCGTTGGGATGAGTTGCCGGATGGCAGCTCTGGGCACAGGGGAGAGTTACTTGTTTGTGGACTCGATGTTTCCTGTTGCGTTTGACTCGCTGCGAGATTCCTCTGCCGTCCCGGCATTGGAGCGGTTAACTTGAGTCACGCTTCACAAGCTTGCACAGCTAATACTTTCAAGAGCTGCTCTGCATTTGTTCCTGCTTGGTTTTTTCAACCGAGTCGGCAGAGACAGCTGCTGCCGGAGAGATTTGCCGAAGAATGAAGCGGCCTAAAACGGTTAGGATGAAACACTGTTATCTTTGTTTTGTACTTTTAGCCGCCAGTGCCTTGTGGGCTCTGCGAGCTGAGAAGCAGCCCAGTCCCTTGCGAGCCGCGGCCGCGTTGTGCCTGGGTTTTCAAGGGACTCTGTGTTTCAGCTGATAAATGACTGGCAGCCCTGTAAATGAAGAGAGACAGAGGGCCATTATTTTGCTAATGCCACGCATTTAGGAATGTCACCGCTTCAGATACGACGCTTTGCAGACTGGGGCTTGAAAGCCGTATGGGGACGCGGCAGCTGGCACCCTCGGTGACACCAGGCTGCTGGTGGCTGGCCTTGCCTTGCAGGTGCTCCACCCTGTAATTGCAGCCTTGGTCTCTTCCTCCCCCCCGCCGCTGCCGGCTCCTGTGCCACCTTTAGAAAAGCTGGAGTTGTGGTGGGCTTTTTGTGGGCTGGTGGAGTTATTTTAGACCTGAGGTGGGTGTCTCAAGAGGTCCTTTCAGTCTCTGTCCCTGCTTGCTCTTGCTAAGGCGCCTGCTCGGTCCCAAGGTCCCAGCTGATGGGTTTCCCTTTGCTGGTTTTGTAGGTTGCTTTTCTGTTCCTGTCTTCCTCGTCTTCGCTTGCCAACGTCATGCAGAAACCTCTGTGAATGTTTTCTCCTTGGTGCTCGTTTTTCCCTTGTGTAGCAAACGAGCATCTCTGTGCCTGGTGTAAACAAGCCTCTGACACTTGGCTGCTTGCTGTGCTCCGTCGCGGCTGCTGTGGGCTTTCTCTTCCCTTCACTGGAGACGGTCTGAAAATCGTTCTTTTCCTCCCCTCGGTGGGGAAGCTGTACGCCCTGAAGCGCTGCAGCGTGTTGGTGGCTGTGCATCACCTCGCGTGGTTTCGCTGAGCCCGGGGTGGTCTGTCTGTGCACAGAAACGATGAAAAGCTGTCGTCTGCAGAGCTGCGGTCCTCACGCGGCGTGAGTGATGTGGGCTGCTGCCGGCGCGGTGCAGCAGTTGCTGGGTTTATGTGGCGGGGCAGCTTTTCCAGAACGGCTCCTGACTGTGGAGCCTCCTGTTCCGGGGCTGCTCTCCTTGGCATCGACTGGCCGAGGCGGCAGCTGCAGGGTCCCCGGCTTCCAGGCCTTCGTGGCCGTGCTGGGAGGAGGCCCTGAAACTGGTAGCGGTGATATAGGAGCCCGTGAAGAGTGACTCTGAGCCCTGAAGCAGCTGGGCAGCAAGCTAGATAAATCAGGACCTTTGTCAGTAATTCCTAGAATGGCAGAGGGGGTGGCGGGTGCTGCCGTGTCCTTGAAATAGCAGGGATATCATCGGTGTGACATTTCTTGCCTTGGCACGGGGAGAGCGCTTGGTGTGTGCTGTTCCTCTGGGGCTCTGGGCTTCTGCCCTTCATCCTGTTGGCTGGGGCATCTTCTCCGCCTTGTTCCTGCAGCCGTGTCAGCGTGATGCTCACGGCCCCGAGTGCAGCCGTGTCAGCGTTGGGAAATGTCGCGCTGCTTGGGTCTCATTTACTTCTGATGGGAGGTGTGGGGGGCTTAGAGGGCCATGGACACAAGAACAAGCCGTGTTCAGCTTGCTGGTCACTGACCAGGGTTTCAGTCGGTGGGTAGCCCTGTGGTGCTGGGCTCATCGGGAGGGCAGATGACTCAGGTGCAGGTTCCGGCTCCGTCCCTTCCTCTTGCCATGTGTCCATCCCCCTGATAAAAAAGGGAACAGCCCAGGCGTAACCGTAGGGTTAGATTCACGCTGGGAGGCTCTTGGGTGCTTGGAGTCCCGTCTTGGGCAGCTCCTGTCTGACTCGGTGCCAGCACATGCTCCCGGAGGTGGGTAAAGCCCAGCTCTGCTCCAGCTGGAAGCATCTGCCTTAGCCTGGTGTGTCCCAAGAAGCCAGAAGGAGAAGCAGATGTGTGACCTTGGGTCCCACACGCTGGAGATCTGCACGCCTGAACGGACCCGGCTGGTGCAGCTGGCGGTGGCCCTGCGTGAGTACCTGCTGCCTCCCTCGCCGGGGCCGTGTCCGGGCGGGACGGCTGCAGCGACGCTCGTCGAGCCGTGCTCCTGGCGTGCGTGCCCACACAGATCCT